CTTTCCGGCAGCCGGGGCCCTTCAATCCAGCAGAAAAGGGCAGAACAGGATCTGATGGCTGGAAGTTAAAGCAAGACAAATTCAGCACTAACTGGCCATGGTGCCGGGAAACAACCAGGGGAGCAACTGGCCCAGGGATGTGGCGGCGTCTCCTTCCCCCGAAGGCTTCATGTCGAGACGGGGTGTCATTTGCAAAAATCGGCTCCAGCTCAAGTGGAAGCTCTGGGCAGGAGCGCCGCCAGCTTTTTTGCCGCCCTAGGCAGCAGAAGGTCCCACCCCCGAAATGCCGCCCCCAACAGAGGCGGCGGAAGGTCCCACCCCCAAAATGCCGCCCCCAACAGAGGCGGCAGAAGGTCCCACCCGCGAAATGCTGCCCCCAACAGAGGCAGCGGAAGGTCCCGCCCCCGAAATGCTGTCCCCGACAAAGGCGGTGGAAGGTCCCACCCCCGAAATGCCACCGCCGACGACTGGGGCGGCTGAAGGTCCCGCCCCCGAAATGCTGCCCCCAACAGAGGCAGCAGAAGGTCCTGCCCCTGAAATGCCGCCCCCAACAGAGGCGGCAGAAGGTCCCGCCCCTGAAATGCTGCCCCCGACAGAGGCGGTGGAAGGTCCCGCCCCCGAAATACCGACGACGACTGGGGCGGCTGAAGATCCGGCCGCCGCGGTCGCTGCCCCCCAAATGTTAGAGCCCTAACGGTTTGCGCCGGCCCTGGGTCTGGGCATGGTGCAGCGATCACTGGGCAAGGCTCTCTGGCCCGTGGGATGCAGAAGGAAGACAGGGAGACCAAAAAAAGCAAAACCTCGGCAAATGCTGCTTGGTCCTTTCCTCCATCAGCTGTCACCAGTTCACCTGGCTTTGTCCCGAGTCTCGGGATATTTGGTGTTTCTCTGAAGTCCCCAGCTCCAGGAGGCCTGTGAGTCCATCAAAGGCTCTGTTTTCATCCAAAAAATTATACAGGCCGTTTCTAGCCATCAGTGCTTGCAAATGGGCCTAAAAGCTCAAAACCTGGCAGGAAAGAAACCAGAACCCACCAGTGAGTCCTTTGAGAAACCTTGTAACTCCCAACAGTCCTAGATTCCAAGACCAGAAGGAACCATTGTGACCATCTAGTCTGCCCCCCGCCCCCATATAGCACAGGCCCTAGGACTCGCCTGCATTAATTAGTTAATAGAGCAGGTCTTGGGCGAATCTCACTCACACTATTAACAAATGGTGCCTTGTTTCATGTCTCAATTTGTCTCGCTTCATCTCCCAGCCGGTTCTGCGTGCCTGTGGCTGGCCAGGGCTGCGTCAGTCTCTAGCGATGGGTGAGGACAGCCAGACAACTAAAATCCCAGCATGGCAACGCACACCCACCTAACAACACCCCAACCAAACCCCGAGGGGTCTCCAGTTCCGTGGCTACATTGCCAAAGAGAATGATAGTGCTGGGAAATGCAGAGCACCAAACGCAAACGCATGTTTCTTCGGTGCATCTACACACCAATATTATGCGCAAGAACAGTAAGAAGCCAAAGCAGCAGATACTTTCGCAGAGGTTGAGGCCAGAAGGAATGATTAGATCAGCTACCCTGACCTCCTGAATAGAACGGGCCACCAGCCCGCCCTCTGTTGAGCCCAACCACTCCAGTTCAGCTAAAGCATTTCAGCCCCCAGGAGACTAAGCTGCTGTGTGCCACAGGCAGAGAACAGGAGAGACCAAGGTGCCACCAATGCCCCGCCAGGCCCCCTGCGACATGATGAGGCGTGCCCAGATGATACCCGCAGGGGAGCCACACCCCTTTGCCAGTCTGCCCTGGGGGAAGGATCTCAAACCTGGTGATTGGGGAGACCCCGAGCATGGGAGCAAGACCCAGGCAGGCAGCGGTGGGATGTCGAGTGGAAGGGAAAGTGCTGGGGGGCAGCGATGGAAAGGGCAGCAAATAACGCTGGGGCACTATGGGGGTGGGGAGCAGGGTGGGAGCCCCTCTGCCCAGCTGCAGCGTGACCCCCCCTTACGATATTGGATTCCAGGCTGGGCCCCTCATTACTGTAAAGCTTTGGGCAAAGTGGAGGCAGGTCAAAGGAGAGCTCAAGAGGGAGAGGCCCGTACCTGAGGGGGTTGTGCTGTGCGCCATGCCCTGGCACTGGGCCAATGGGCACTGGTGCTGCGTGCTGGGCGTGTGAGCACAGACCAGGCGTACCCAGGGGGTCAGGGCAAGGGGTGGGAGGGTTGGAAACACAAAGGAACTGGCACCTCGTTAGGGTGAAATTGGGCCTGCGATTCTCTCTTCTGGGCCCCCGCCTAATGGGGCAGGGTTCGGAGCCTGGGGGTCTGCACGTGGGCTGGATGGGGGAGGGGATCTGAGGCAGGTTGTGAGCAGGCGGGGGTGGGATTGGGTGTTCGTGGTGGTCCCTCCCCCAAGGGCAGGCATGGACCTTCTCCCCCACCCTTGGGGCAGCGCTGGGCTGGCCAAGCCAATGGCAGCCCCTGTCCCCCGAGCACCAGTCATCACCCAAACATGACCTCCTGGGGGCCAGGCCCCCCAGCTCTGCTCCCTGTTCCAGCTATCCTGCCCAGAGACTCCAGACACCATAGAGAAAGGCACCGCTAGCTAGTGGTCAGAGCAGGGAGGGCTGGGAGCCAGGACTATTGGCCCCAGCCCACCTTGGCTAATGCTCTGCAGTTAGATCTGGGCTTTTCCTCCCCTTCTAGTGCCACACGGGTGCTGGGTGCTTCCGGGTGCCAGTCAACAGCTGCCATCTTGTTCCCTGCACCTACGGCCCCAGCCAGGGGAGGCTTGCAGGACACTGAACCAAAGCCAGGGCCAGCCCCGAAGGGCTGAGACCGACGCAGCCAACTCTGCGGTGAGGCACGTGGTATTTGGAGCTTCTCATGCCCCAGCTCCTGGAGTCAGGGGAACTGCAGGGTTGACAGGAGACTTGCAGCTTCTGGTTAAAAAGCAACGGCTGGTTCTAGCCCTTCTGGTTGGAGAGAGAAGCTGGAGGACAAGCCCCCTAAAGGTTAAGAGACACACCCCCACCCCCATTAGCTTTAGGCGCACATGCCTTGCAATAGTTTCAGCAGTACACTGAAGGTATCATAGCACCAGCTCCTCCTCCCCAGCAAGGTTTGAACTCACACCCTTCAACCCCACTGCACATGAGCAAAAGGAGCAACTCCATTAAGTTGGCAGCAGCAGTTGCAGGCTATTATACTGTCTATGGCATTTTACCCTCCCCCACGCCCCAGTCGGGGGTGCAAACTCACCCTGGGAAACTTCTCTAGCAGAGAGGCCGTGAATGGGCCTGCTCCTTAGCGGAGGGGCTCCATGGGGCTGGGCCGGCTGACGCTGGCTGGGAGGTGGCCCAGGCCCATGGAGGGATTGGGCTGGGGGGGCGGGGCTTTGTAGATGACTGGAGGGTTCCGTGCCCAAGGGGCAGCATGGGAGCGAGCAGCAGAGGGGCATGCAATGGAGATGGCCATTGGCAGAGCAAAGGCGGGGCTGACGAGACGCGATCAGAGCAGGGCTGAAGGGGCAGAGCCTGGGAGGGAAGGACGAGGAGAGTTGGGCACCAAACAGCTAGTGGAGATCATAACCCCCGCCTCGACCCGCACGACACAGGCTTGCATTGGGGCAGCGCAGCGGGGAGCCCTGGGGGGCGGGCGAACAAGGGGTTGAGCGCCACTCAGGATTGTTGGGGAGGGTGGGCGGGCACAGCTGGAGTGAGTGTGTTGCGACTGGCAGCACAAGGGGTGGCAGGGCTGGCTGTGGAGGGAGGAGGCGGGCCGAAGGCTGCAGCACCAGGGGGTGAGGCAGGTGGGTGGGCAGTGGGATGGGGGGGGAAACGTGTTGGCAGCAACAGCCACACTAGCTGGCCTGGGAGAGGCAGGGAGGCCAAGATCCAAGCAGGCGGGATGAGGCTCCTCGCACCTCGCCGGGGCTGGCGGCTGCTCCCTGCCTTGCCCAATCCTGGGTGCCCGTTGCTGGCACCCCAGAGGTCCCTCAGCCAGCGCTACCCACTTGGAGCCGAGCTCTTCCCTTCATTTGGGGGCTGAACCCCCTTTACAGAACTCTCCTGCTCTGGCCTCGACACCCTGTCGGTGCCGGACACCATGGCGAGGGTCCCCTAGAAATCCCAGCATGGGGCAGGGCCCTGATCCCAGCAGGCAGGGACCCGGGCAAAGCCCCTTGAATAGCTCGTGGGCACAGCCGTAGTCGCCTGACTCCATGTGATCTGCTGGGCCCAAGCCACGGTTCGGTGCGAAGCCCTGTCCTGCATCACCAGCCGGGGGTGAGCACTGCCATAGGCAGAGGCTGGATTAGCAACCCACCGAGTGCCTGGAAATTAACTAAAATTAGCTAAAATGTTGGAGGTGGAGGGGCAGGAGGGGCTGTGCCCGGCTGGGGCCTTCGCTCTGTGCCCAGGGGGAGGGAACAGAACCTGCTTGCTTTGCCTTGGGAGACGGGGGAGGCAGAGGCAGCGCTCTGGGGTGGGATGGGGGACGCCCCACCTACAGCCACTGTCCAGGCTCTGAGAGGGGGTCTGGGAGGTTGTGATCCCCCAACACTGGGTGGGCTGGGGGCGTCTCCCAGTTCAGTTGTGGCGCAGATTGCTCTGATGGCTTCAGTGGCTGTTGTTTGGAGGGGCCTTGGTCCAGGCAAGGGAGGGAGGGTGGAGGATGAGGCCCTGGTGGGAGACGGCCTGGGGAGGGTCTGAAGCCTTACAGGGGTTGTATCCTTGCTGAGGGAGGGGGAGCTGCTGCTGGGCTAGGTCCCTGCTAGAGTCCCTTGTGGGCCTGTGAGCACCCCTAGTGTTGGTGACGGTGCCTGAGCTCCGCAGAGGGGCTGAATGTTGGGGCCTGGGGCTCCAGGGGGTGCTGTACAGGAGACATTCTCAGGGGGCAGCCTGTGCCCAGGGGCAGGGTCTCACAGCAGGAAGGCTCGGGGCAGTGTGTCACTGGGGGACATCTCTCCCCCACACCCCATCTCACCCGCCCCCTCCTCTCCCCTCACAGTCGGCCTCCCCAGAGCAGGAAGGCTTCTTCAACCTGCTGACCCACGTGCAGGGCGGGCGCATGGACGAGCAGCGCTGCAACATCCAGATCGTGCATGGCAAGAGCGGTGCTGACCCGGAGAAGCGTGAGTCCTGGCGGGGAACTGGGGCGGGGGGGTTAGAGCCGGAGGTCACAGCTTCCGTCCCTATGCCTGCCCACTCGCCCAGCAGCAGACGTGGCTATGGGGGTGGGAATAGGTTCAGCAAGGACTGCTCATCTCTAGGGACTTGGCTCCACTTGCAGGTTATACTGCAATAAAGCCTCCCAGAGCACTCTGACTTACTCTCCATCCACACTGGCCAGGCACGGAGAGCGCTCGGACTCCCTGGCTGGAGCGCTCCTGGTACTCCACCTTGGCCAGAGGATTAATGTCTGATGCGTATTGGGTGAGACGCCCCAGCGTCAGTGTGGACGAGGAGTTGCATTACTGCGCTCTGATTGACCTCCAGAAAGGCCCATAATCCCCTTAAGTCAAGTGGCCACTCCTCTCATTGTTGTGAACTGGGCTGCAGGAATGCGGAAGTGCCTTTTCGAAGCTCCGTTTCTGACAGCCGGCTGCGTCTCTGCTTCTCTGATCCGTGAGTGAGAGAGAGGCGGAGGGGGAGGAGGGTCTCACCTTACAAGATAGTGTGCTGACACACACTTAGCACCCCCCAATCCCACCCTCTCCCCCCACATACACACAACACACTCCCTGTCACACTCCCCCCCCACCCTCCGCATTTGAAAAGCATGTTGCAGCCACTTGAACCCTGGGATAGCTGCCCACAATGCACCGCTCCCAATGCCGCTGCAAATGTGGCCACGTCAGTGCACTTGAAGCTGTCAATGTGGACAGACTGCGGCGCTTTCCCTACTGTGCTCTCCGAAGGCTGGTTTAACCCAAAGATCTCTACATCTGCAAGTGTAGCTAAGCCCTAGGACAACATGGGTCCCTGAAGGGGGGGATGGCCTGTGGAACTCCCTGGTACAGGAAACTGAGGAATCCAGCACTGGGGCTTGAAAACTGGGAAGTTTACTCTGTAAGTGTAGGGGTGGGACTGCGGGCCTGGAGGGGCATAGTCAGAGTTGTGGTGGTGGCAGGCGGGAGGCAGTGTTGGAGGGCCCCATGGCCATGTCCTGAAGGGGAGGGAAATGGGCCTAGCATCATGGCCTCTTCTGGGAGCTGCCCAGCCTTTCCCTCACGCCTGCATCTGCCCCGCCCACAGAGGACAGCCCCAGCCCCCCGCCGGAGATGGACAGTTTCCTGGATATGCTGGCACACACGCAGAGCCGGCGGATGGACGACCAGCGCGTCAGCTTCAACTACCTCCCAGGCTTCCAGAACACCGACCGCAACGCCCCCAGCAAGCCGGCCTCTGGGCCCACCAAGGTGAGAGCAGGGCAGCTGTGCGGGGATAGAGGAGCTCTCTGCCTGCGTGTGCCCCGCGGCACCATGGGCAGGCACTGGGGCTGTGCACCTGACCAGCTAAGCCATGGGCAGGGCAGCATGGAGGGAGGGACTCAGGGCATTGCCTGGGTAAAGGGAGCAAAGCCATTGGGTGTGGCAGTGCCAGGAACGCCCCTAGGGCGACATATTGCACATGTAGTCCTGAGGGCATCCAGGAGGGGGCAGTGTTGGTGTTAGAGCGTCGTATGACAGGAGAGGACAGCGAGGGGAGTGCACAGCAGGGTGGGGGCAGCCCCGTGTGGGAGGCCCCGCAGAACTGAACTATGATTTCACCACTCACAGCTAAGGCCCTCCCATCCCCCCCGCCCCGCGCCCTGTGGGACTAGCCCCTGAGCCAGGCCACACAGGGTCAGGATGTACCAGGTCTGGCCCAGACGAGCGAGAGAACCAGGCTCCGCTGCCCGCCGGCGCTGGGAGCCCACCCAGGCTGAGGGAGCTAGAGGGGTGAGCGGAGCCAAAATCCCCCACGCTGAATGCCCGTCTCCTCTCCTGGCCCCATCCTGCCTGTGCAGTCCCCAGCCCCGGGGCTCCTCGCCCTGGTAGGGGGCTCTCCTCCACCCCGATTCAGCAACGCGGGGACTGAAAGGACCCGGCTCCCTGGGCGATGGGGCCTGATCCAAAGCCCCCCAGAGGGGAGCCAGTACGTGGTGCCCATTGGCTCCACTGGGTGTCAGGCTCAGGGCCCCAGTGCCAGGGGAAAGTGGCTGGTGGCCACCACCACCCCGTGCCAACTCGCTCCCCCTTCAGCCATGTCGGTGCCCCCCCCACATGTACTGCCTCGTGTCCCTTCCACCCCCAGCCCCGCGTCCCCTCCCCGCCCCACCTTCACTCACCCTATCAGAACCCAACCCAGGCTACCTAGGCAGCCACTAGCAGACCACCAATGGCCAACTCTCAAAGCTGATTGGCTGATGTAGCACACAACAAGGGCTCCTGTCTGTCTGGGGCTTCTTCACTGGCAATCATCTAAATTCCCTTGGAGCGGCCACACCCCAGCCCCACCCATGGCCCATCAGGGCTGGTCCCCTACCCAGCGACAGGCAACCTCTGCTCACCTAGCAGATACCGGCCCATAGCCTCCCCCTCCCCAAGGCCTCCATCTTCAACCAGGCCCATTTGGAGCAATTTTTTTGACCAGAATTAAGTGGAGCTTTGCACCCTCTCTGCTGGAGCAGACCCCGCCCAAGGCGGTCTCTGCAGTATAATAGCCAGCTTGTTAACTGGCAGCTGTAGGGGTTGCTAGCCCCACTTTGCAGATGGGGAAACTGAGTCATGGAGAGCAGAAAGGTCTGGCTCAAAGTCAGAGTGATTCCATAAGAGCGCCAGGGATAGAACCCAGGAGTCCTGGCTCCCAGCTCCCCTGCTGCAACCCACTAGACGCCACTACCCACCCAGAGCTGAGGTTAGACTCCCGGAGTCCTGTCCCCTCACTTGACCTCTCTGTTTCAAGCATCCCCCAAGAGCTGCTGTGTGGTGTCCCAGCTGGTTCAGTCAGAAGGCGCAGGCAGCCCAGGGCTGGTCTCTGGCCAGGGGGGACAAGGAAGGTTGGTGCTGCCCAGCCACACCACGTAGAGGTAGCATGGGGGGAGGAGGGGGACAGGGCCCTTCCCCGTGATGACAGCCTGGCCTGGGGGAATGGGGCATTTCAGTCGGTGTCTGCTGCCCTCTGGTGGTGATTGGCTGCAATGACATGCCTCTGAGCAGCAGCAGGCCATCAAGATCCCTGGGGGGGACAGACATTCCCTTGCAGAACCAGGGATAGAACCCAGGAGTCCTAGCTCCCCGTTGTTTCCACTAGACCCCACGCCCCTCCCAGAGCTGGGGATAGAGCCCAGGAGTCCTGCCCCTCAGAGCTGGGGTCGGGGGATAGAACCCAGGAGTCCTGCCCCTCAGTACCACACACCTTCCACTCCTTAAACCCTCTGGGCCAGTCTCACTTGCCTGGTCAGAGCTGAGTGGAGAGCCCAGGCTACAGCCCAGGGGGAGTCCGGCAATCCAAACATGGCATCAGTGGGGCAGGGAACGCCCCCCCCTCCCCCCGGCCAGCTGGCAATTCCCTTACCCACAGAGCGGAGCAGTATCTGTGGCCAGGATCCCCCCTGGGGTCCTCTGCCATCCCTCCCGGTCTCTGTCTTGTTGTGGCTTCTCTACCAGCCCTGTGTCTGGCTTGTGACTAATATCTGTGTCTGTGTCTCCACGTTCTCCCCCTTCCCCCCGCCGAGCATCACTTGTCCTCGCCTGCATGTGAATTAACACAACTAACTCTCTCTCTCTCATTCTCTCTCATGTGCCTGGCTGGAGTTTCGTCTGAGTGTCTTGGGGGGGCCTCGCTGGCTGTGCCGTGGGGGTGGGGGTTGCTGACTGTGCCATGTATCTACATGAGGCTTCTCCGGGATGCATGAGCTGGCACTGTGTCCAGGGCTTAGGCCATGAGGCCACCAGGAACTGGGGTCACTGGTGGGCAACATACAGAGTGGAAGTAGGGGCGCTAGCCATGCTCTCTGGCCCTGAGGCGGAGTGATGCTCACATACTCAGGGGGCTAAGAGCACCTCCTGGGGGCTGGGGAACGGTTTGGGGTGCAGGGAGGAGGGGCTGTAAGGGGAGCAGCCCAGCGAGACAGACCAAAGCAGGGAAGCTTCAGTGCCCCTCCCCCAGCAGGAGCAGCTCCAGTCCCTGTGGCAGGGGCTGGGGCAGGGATGGGAGCTGGCCTGGGGCTCCATCCACAGAGACTGAGGGGAGCTCTCGCCTAGCAGCTGAGGTGTCCCCAGCAACAGCGCTAGAGTGTCCAGGGCGCACCCGTTCCAGTCCCGGTGCCAGCAGGGGATGATGGACTGGGTCTGCCCCCAAGCACTGGACCCTGGGCAGCCTCGTGCTCTGCAGGGCAACAGAAGGTGGCACAGACATGAGTGTAGGTGGGAGTGCATCCAGCGGGGGGCAGCAGCGCACAGACCCAGGATGATGGGGGACAGGGAAGGAATGGGGGGAGTGCACACATCACAATATGTAGGACCAAAGCACCGAGGCCTTATTTACAGGAGTGGGCTCTATCCTGGGAAGCAGTGACTCTGGAAAAGATGGGGGGGGGGGTGGATCATTAGCTGAACATGAGCCCCCGGGGGATGCTGGGGCCTAAAGAGCTAATGGGCTGCATCAATGGGGAATCTCGAGTAGGAGCAGAGAGGTTGTTTCATCTCTGTCTTTGGCACTGGTACAACCCTGCTGGAATCCTGTGTCCAGCTCTGGTGCCCACCACTGACGGCTGTTGAGAGGGGGCAGAGAAGAAACAGCTGAATGGATTCAAAACCCCGTATAGCGATGGACTCAAGGAGCTCGATCCATTTAGCTTCCCAAAGAGGTTAAGGAGTGACTTCTTCACTGTCTAGAAGGCCTGGTCTACACTACACAGGTCATGTAAGGCAGCGTTCGTCAACCTCACTCTATCAGTGTCCACACTACAGACTTGTCCCAGCGCTGTAAGTGCCCTGCTCCGCCGACAGAACAACTCCACCTCCACGAGAGGCGCAGGGCTTATGTCGCAGGGCTTATGTTGGTGCAGACACTGCGCTATTTACATTGGCGGCTGGCTGTCTTGTCAATTTCACGGCTCCATGCTGCCATGAAATTGACAGGAAAGCCAGGCAGCTAGAGACAGGCTGCGCCCCACTCTTAGGGGGGCGGGAACCACTGGATCAGTTTCCCAGGATTTCCCAGCACTGGCCCTTTTAAAATCAAGATGAGAAGTTTTTCTAACAGATCTGCCCTGCTTCAAACAGGAATTCATGCTGGGAAGTGGCAGAACCTGTGTGATAATAGGGTCAGGCTACAGGATCACAGTGTCCCTTCTGGCCTTAGAAGCTATGAATTATACCTGGGGGGGCAGGGTGCCCTGTACATGGGGGGGCAATATCACATGTGTGGGCACACTCCGGTGGGGGCACATAGCAGAGGGGGGATACACAGAGTGAGGGAAGGGGCCCAGTGCCGATCCAGCCCTTGCCTCCGGGAAGAAGCTTCATGCGCATGTGTGCAGGAGAGCTTGAGTGAGGCCGGGGGGGGCCTGACCAGGGTCCATCCTCGCTCCCCGCACCCAACGCCGTCTCTTCCTCTTTGCAGAAGTGAGCGCCCCCATGGCGGGGGGAGGAGCCGACATGCCTGATGGCCGCGCTAGCACCCGTGCCCTGCAGCACCTGCCCTGCCCACTCTGTACAACCCCAGTGCCCCAATAAAGGCCTGGCTGGTTTCCCGCTGGTCTGTGTCCGTTTCGGGGTGCCCCAGGGACCAGTCGTGCACTAAGGTGGGGGGTGGGGGAGGAAGTAGGGGGCAGAGGGAGAGGAAGGGGACTCTCACCCGGGATGTGGGGAGGAGACAGACAGTGCTGGATGTGCCCCGCGATCCTGGACTGGCACAGATGTACAGGGATGGAACTGCAGGAGCCAGCGGGACAGCAGGGAGAGGGCACAAGGCAACCTGGGAAAGGACTGGGGGGCACACACATGGGGGGGGGTATCAGTGCAGTGGGCTCTCTCACACATGTACACATGTGAGGTACATGCACAGGGGCACACACACATGGGGGGTATCAGTGCAGTGGGCTCTCTCACACATGTACATACACGTGAGGTACACGCACAAGGGCACACACATGTGGGGTATCAGTGCAGTGGGCTCTCATACATGTACATACACGTGAAGTACACGCACAGGGGCACATACACGGGGGGTATCAGTGCAGTGGGCTCTCACACCCGTGCACACACATGTGAAGTACTCACACAGGGGGTACACACACACAGGGGATATCAGTGCAGTGGGCTCTCACACACGTACATACATGTGAGGTACACGCACAGGGGCACACACACACAGGGGGGTATCGGTGCAGTGGGTTCTCTCACACATGTAAACACACGTGAGGTATACGCACAGGGGCACACACACACGGGGGGGTATCAGTGCAGTGGGCTCTCTCACACATGTACATACACGTGAGGTACACGCACAAGGGCACACACACACAGCGGGTATCAGTGCAGTGGGTTCTCTCACACATGTACATACATGTGAGGTACACACACACGGGGTATCAGTGCAGTGGGCTCTCTCACACATGTACATACACGTGAGGTACACGCACAAGGGCACACACATGGGGGGTATCAGTGCAGTGGGCTCTCACACACGTACGTACATGTGAGGTACACGCACAGGGGCACACACACATGGGGGGTAGCAGTGCAGTGGGCTCTCTCACACATGCACACATATGTGAGGTACACGCACAAGGGCACACACACACAGCGGGTATCAGTGCAGTGGGTTCTCTCACACATGTACATACATGTGAGGTACACACACAGGGGCACACACACATGGGGGGTATCAGTGCAGTGGGCTCTCTCACACATGTACATACACGTGAGGTACACGCACAAGGGCACACACATGGGGGGTGTCAGTGCAGTGGGCTCTCACACCCATGCACACACATGTGAGGTACTCACACAGGGGGTCACGCTGGGATAGGATGGTATTAGCACAGGGGAAGCAAACAAAAAGGCACGGCCAGGGGGATAAGATCAGAGGGCTCAGACACATAGGGGTTACAAGCTCAGGGAGGTCACACGCTGTCTGCACAGGGAAGTATAACTCAGTGGGATGACACAGTGGTGAGGGGAATAACACAGCCACACAAACAGGGGTAGTAGCGCGTAACCACACACACACACGGGTATTTGGACCATAAGAATGGCCCTACTGGGTCAGACCGATGGTCCATCTAGCCCAGTATCCTGTCTTCCTACCGTGGCCAATGCCAGGTGCCCCAGAGGGAATGATGTAGTAGGATCTCACGCACACTGCACGTATCAGTGCAGTGAGAATAACACATACAGGATGATGGAGTATTAGCGCAAGGAGATCAAATACAAATAAATGCATATGGGGGGATAAGATCAGAGAGATTACACACAGACACACACACCTTGGGGCATTGGGGTAATGGGGTGGGGGGTGTCATCACACACACACACACACAAGGTCTACACATAAGTGTGGGTATTAGCAGAGGGGGGATCATACACACGCGGGGGTATGAATGCGCTGAGATCACAAGCCTGTGGTATAGGTGCAGGCAGATCACACACACACACACACCCCAGCCATAAGGGCAAAGGGTCAGACACATTCAGTGACACGTCCCCCAAGGGTACCCAGGGTTCTGAGACACCTTCCGCCCACCTGTCCTCACCATGAGGGAGCCTGGCTAGGCCTGCTCAGGTCCCTGACTCCACCAACCTCTGGCACCCTACACACGGCCTTCCAGGCCCCTCCAGGCCTCGCTCCCCCTGTCCAGGTAGCAGCTAGTACAGCATCCCTGTGCCGAGCCCAGCCCCAGTCCCCAGAACGCTCCCAGATCCCGCAGAGCCATGGCTCCCGAGGGCTCAGCACACACCGGCTGGCGAGGCTCAGCGCAGGCAGGATGGCCCCAGAGCCGCGGCTCCCGAGGGCTCAGCACACACCGGCTGGCGAGGCTCAGCGCGGGCAGGATGGCCCCACAGCGCGCAGAGCCGCTGAGCGCGCAGCCCTGCGACAGATACAGGGCAAACAATGAATGGCTCACCCAGAACAGGGGTTGGAGGGACAGACAGTGAGACTGTTGGAAACAAAGGGGTAAAATAACAGGCCTTCTAGGACCACAGGGTAACTGACAAGGCAGCCCCCAGTCTGCTCAGGGGTCCTCTCCTGGCGTTTTCTGCCAGTTTCTCGTGAGATCAAGCCCAGCTTGTCCTCACAGACTGAAGGGCTCCCTGGGGTTCCTCTGTGCCCAAGATCTAGTTTCAAAAGTTCATCGTCTGACTCCTGAGCGGGCGAAGCCAGCTGGGTTTGTTCTGTCCTGCGGCCCTGCAATCTATTGATTAGCATTTTGCTCAGACTGTCAATGGACACCATTGTGCACCAGACAATAATCAGTCTGCACATGACCAGCCAGCCTGAGACGAGTGTCTCTCCCTGCTGCCGGGTGGGTCTATGGTTCTCCTCTCACTGAGCGAGAGACCAGACAGAGCTCCTCACATGCTGCCCATCACCACATCTCACTAGGGTTGTGATGACCAGTTTGACACATAGAGCCCACACAGGACATTCGTTGGCGGATCCTAGGGATTCCTGTACCCTGTGCCCTCTGCCCATTGGCTTTGAGGCCCTTGGGTCGCTCTCTCTCTCTCTCTCTTCACACACACATACACACACACACACTCAGGGTGTGTGAGCGACGGGGGGAGCCTCACACATACACAAACACACACGTGGGCTATAAGTAGGGCCCTACGAAATTCACAGCCATGAAAAACATGTCACGGACAGTGAAATCTAGTCTTTTGTGTGCTTTCACCCTGTACTATGCAGATTTCATGGGGAAAACCAGCATTTCTCAAACTGGGGGCCCTGACCCAAAAGGATGTTGTGGGGGTGGGGCAGTATCACAAGGTTATTTTAGGGGGGGGGGTTGCCTGAAGACAGAACCACCACCAGCAGAAGTGAGGATGGGATGGTATGGTATTGCCACCCTTCTGCGCTGCTGCCTGCAGAGCTGAGCGACCAGAAAGCGGTGGCTCCTGACCGAGGGCCCAGATCTGAAGGCAGCAGCACAGAAGGGTGGCAATACCATACCATGCCATCCTCACTTCGGCACTTCTGCTGGCGGTGGTTCTGCCTTCAGAGCTGGGCTCCTGGCCAGCAGCTGCCACTCTCCAGCTGCCCAGCTTTGAAGGCAGCGCCGCCACCAGCAGCAGCAGCACAGAAGTAAGGGTAGCAGCACCGCAACCCCCCCTACAATAACCTTGCGACCCTCCCCCCCCCCAACTCTTTTTTGGGTCAGGATCCTACGATTACAGCACCATGACATTTCAGATTTAAACAGCTGAAATCATGAAATTTACGATTTTTTAAATCTTATGAGCGTGAAATTGACCACAATGGACCGTGAATTTGGTAGGGCCCTAGGTATAAGCACAAGGAGATCACAGACACACACACAAAAGTAAAACCCAATGGGCTCACACACATACAAATGGGGGGGAATAAGTACAGGGGCATAGCTGTCTCACCCACACACCCAGGGATATAAGCACAGGTGGAAAACACACACACACACACACACACACACACACATCTCCCAGGGGTGTGTGTGTGTGTAAGTGCAGAGAGATCACACGCACAGAGGGAAATATAACCATCACACATACGCACACACACCCCTTTCTTTGTGGGAGTGAGTGTATAAGTAGAGGGGGAACTCACACACACAGGAGGGGAACCTTGGTGATTTCTCTCCCACTCTCTTTCTCACACACACAATGGGGCATTAGTGCAGGGAGATCTCACACACACACACACACACACACACACACAGAATAAGTGCAGGGCCATCTTACATGTGTGGATTATAAGCACGGGGGAGTAACACACACAAACAGTAGTAATAGCACATGGGGATCAAAGACATAGATAGGGGTTTAGGTGTAGGGGGAATCACATACACACAGGTATTAGTATAGGGGAAATTACACACTCACACACACACACAGGCATTAGTATTGGGAATCCAACACACACACACACACACACACACACACGGTATTCGTGTATGAGGATCACTCAGAGACACAGAGGGGATATAAGCAGGGGGAAATCACACACACAGAAGGTATTAGTGGAGGGGTCACACCTGCACAAACACACTGGGGCATTAGCACATGGGGACCCACCACAGACACACATGGGGATATTATCACAGGGGAATCTCACACGTTGGGGGGGTAAGAGTGCAGAGGACTCTCTCTCTCTTTCTCACACACACACACACACACGTACGTCACGGAGTCACTGGGGTGAAGCCAGCCAGGACTCTGGGGGAGCCCCCTCTCTCTGAGCTACACTGTCGCCAGGGCAAGAAGCTTACACAGCTTCGACCTTCCTGGGTCTGACCTCGGAGCACTCAGCATCCCCTTCCACACCGTGCGCTTCCTGCAGCGAGTCCGCCCAGCTGGGGCTCCAGGGGAAGCCAGAGGGCCCTGCACCCCAACCTCACAGTCAGATGTGACTCTCAGCCAGCTGGTAAAATAGAAGGTTTATTAGTCACCAGGAACACAGCATAGAGCAGAGCTTGTTAGCACAGAAATCAGTGACTTTCAGCCAAGTCCATCTTGGGGGGACCCCGGGCCAGAAGCCCTGGA